CCCTTGTTTTATAAATCAACACTGCCCTGCTTATTTGTGTATATTTTTTCTGCAGGATAATATTTATTACAGTTTTGGGCAGCTGTCCAAAAACAAACTTTGAGCAAAAGAATAGAGTTCTATTATACTGCAACAATGAGAGCTGTGCTGCTGCATTTGAACTAATGTCTACTGAACATTAGTTGCAAGAATACAGGTTTCAGGACAGTACGCACTGGTTAGCTCTACATTCTGTATAGCACTACTAGCCACCAAAGATTTACCACTGTTCTTAAGAACAGGTTAAACAAACATTTGTCCAGGTTTACATAAGGACGATGCTGCCTTGGACTAAATGACCTCGGGTCCCTTCCAGCCCTATTTTCCTATGATTCTGTGACCAAGCACACAAATGCCTGAGAATTTGACATCTATTCAGTTGAAGGCCGAGTTTATACATATGTGCTGTACAAGGAAGGAACAAAGCCAATAATATGTTAAAGGAAACTGAGTTACATGTAAATCAGCATTTGGCTATTTGAATATGAAATCTTCCCTGCCAAATTTCATAGCACTCCTAAAACTTGTGTAATATTTTGCTGAAACATAATTTGCTGAAAGGCAAGGATACTCAGACAACCATTCCACTAATTTCTTAATCATTGCACAGAGCACTGGCAACCTTATTCTTTCCTAAAGATCTACAGTACAGTATTTGCTAAACTGCACTATTGGGCTGAGAATTCTGATCAATAAACTTCCCTGATCCATTTGAACTGATCTTTGTTACACTCCAGACAGCTGAAATCTGATGGGATAATTTATGGAGCAGACTACTTCCTGGTAAGTCTCGAAAAGACTAAAGGTTGCATTTATGGTTTCTGACAATGGGGCTATTGTTGTTGAGGCTGTATGTTTTGACCATTGCTGGAAGCTACAAATATGGTAACTTCTTTGATGCTCATAGACCAGTTCAAAATGTGCTACACACTGCCAGAATAATTTCTCAGTTACTTCATCCCAGGGCTTTGTACTGCAACAAAAGAAGATCTGCTAAGAAGACTTGAGACCACCGTTTTTCAGCCTGTGGTCTGCAGACCCCTGGGAGCACACAGACAATGTCTAAGGGGTCCGCAAAAGATGACCATGATCAATCAAAAGTATGTGCATACCCATACTTACAATTCAGAGGGGTCTGCACCTCCACTTGAAATTTCCAAAGGAGCAAGTGAAAAAAAGGTTGAAAAAAACCACTGCTCTAGACTATTCTTGCACTGGTGTAATCTTTGCTGACATGTCTCCCAGTGTCAATTATGGCAGTTTCAGGCTTTAACCTATACTCTGCGGCCTTATGAGCTTTTGGTGGCAGGGAACAACAAATTCATTTTTAGCTACATCCCTCACATCTATATACCCAGCCTGTCCGCTCTGTCCCATAGTACTCTGCTCCCTACTGCCTAAGGCCAGGGTAGAATTACTCTGGCAGCTCTGTGAGGAAAGGAGGACCCTCTTACACAATGGGATATACTGTATGTCCCATTTCTTCCCCTTTATACTTTTATAAGGTCATACAAGGGCTTTAATAGAATGGAAGATCAGCACCATGGTGTCCCCATCTGTTGTGCGTGACTGAAGACAATACATGGATAAGTTGTTTTGCTTAGTGGGTTCACAGAGCTTTAGGGATTTCTAGCCAATAGGACTGTGCAAAATTTAGGCAGCTGTTTCGTTCCGATGCTGTTTCAACTCGTTTTGAGTTCGATAGAGTGAAATCAAAATGAAACAAAGGGCTTCAAAACAACCTTGAAATGAAATGAGGGCAGTCGAAATGTTTTGAAAGTTTCAAAACATTTTGAGTTTTGAAGCCGACGCTGGGCTTGCCTGCAGGGAAACAGAATGTAAGGAGAGGAAGGGGGAAGAGGAGGGAAGGACATAGTGAGGGCGCGTCTTAACACACATGTTGTTGAAGCTCCTGCAGGAGAGGAAAGAAAGGCTCTGTCACATTTTGGCTGCCTGAGATGCTACTGGTGCTACTGTGCTCGTGCTAAGTTATTAGTTTACCTGTTGCTATTTAAAGTGGTGGACCGGACTGAGGCTATAGGGGAGGAGGAGACCAGATTGGGGCACACTACTGTGTCATGTAGAGGCCCCAGTGCCAGTGAGTGCACGCCTTAACAAACACATAAACACAGTCACACATCACAGTTTTGCTTGTCAGCAGCTTGAGATGCAGACTCCCAGAAACCCCTGCACCTATCTCCTTGAAAGCTGGCAGGCTTCATGGCCTCAGCAGGCGTACCATGCCTGGTGTTTTCACCCCCCTGTGCCTTCACACTTACAAGTGACCCAAGTTTTGCTTTCAGGACTCTGAGGTGCAGTTTCCCAGAAAGCTTTCCACCTATCTCCTTGAAATTTGGCAGGCTTCATGCCCTCAGAAGGGGCTACAATCCCTGCTCTTTTCATCCAAATCTGCCAAAAAATTACAAATTTATAGGCAGTTTCATGCTTCCCCTTTATAGCCTATGGGCAAAACATCAAAACAGCGCTGAAACAGCAAAACAGTTTCAATGAAATGAAACAGAACGGTGCTTTGAAACTAAATGAAACTCAAACCAAAACACTGACCCATCAAAATGGCAAAAGGGAAGTCAAAACAAAATGGTGCTGTTTTGCACAGCACTACTAGCCAACTCCAGGCTAAGCTTTGCTTGCCAAAGTACATTACAGGTTTGGGTGGTCTCTGGAAAACTAAACTAAGATTGTGGCAAAGAAATAGTCTATCTTTGTTTCTCAGCTGCACTCATATGTCCTAGTTTCTTGGACTCCACGATCAGAATTTCCCTTGGTCTGAGCCTGAACTTTATGCCTGTCATCCAGCCACTGACTGCCTGTGCTCTGCAGTTCCATAACCATTTTATGTATATTAAGTTTTAGATTTTTGTTTTGAAACAGTGCACTGGATGTCAAGTGTCTTGTACCTCCAGTTCTTTCCCTTCTTGCTCCTGTTTTTTCCAACTTTCTGCCACCTGATTTAAAAGACTTAGGCAGCTTTGAAAAGTTTCACATTGTTTACAACTTTGAAAAAAAATCTGAGTATATTTGTTTAAAGTGTTTCAAAATTATCCTGACACACTCAAGTCCCTGATCCTGGCTACTATTTTTCAAGCCAATCTGACTAAATATGTTGTTTTAGACTTTACCTTTAAATGGAGTATCAGGTGCAATCCACTATGAGGCTAGAAAGTCTTCAAGTCATCCGTCATTAAGAATATTTGATCCAAACCTGGTAAAATAGTTTTAATAGCTTTTTCTCTTTCTCTATGTAAAAAAAGTGAGCGACCTTATTTTTCCAGTGTCAATTGATGATATTCAAGATTCTGGATGTTAATAAATGCTCTTATTGGTAGATTGTTTTTTCTGTGCCGACATTTGTATTATATAGATTTTTCCTTTTTGTTTTGTTTTTTGGAAAAGTTAAAAAATTAATTTAAATTCCAAGAAAAAAAATACCTGTCTGGGTGGCAATCCTTCACTAATGCGGATTTAGAAGTATCAAGTGCAATCTGCTTTCTAGAGAACTGTTTTTAGTTCATCTGGTTTTGTGTTTACTCTTAGAAGCCAGTGGTGCAGGTAAGTATATAATTAAGGGCTTATATAAAATGGAGATTCTTTTACATGTCAGACACCAGCATGCTCCAAAGGAATAATGACCAGAGAAAGCATAAAAACTCCTTTAGTGCTGTTGTATTCTATTGTACTGTGGCCTACTTAAGGATTTGGCTTAGAGATCATTCTTGGTTCATATTACACAGCAGCAGGTTTGAGTGTGTGCTGCACACGTGCAGCAAGGCCTAGTTCTGCACTATTGATGCCACTGGGAGTTTGCCAAGTTTCAGCCTTAAGTAAATGTTCAGGAATTTGTAATGGAAATGCTAACTGTAGCTGCAGCATTGCAATCATCTCCCAAACCATTTGTGTAAACTAAGCATTTCAGGAGACATGGAGGGTATGCATCTTCTGCTGGGGGAGGAAGTTAATGGAGCTTCTTATAGTCTCCTTACTACATCTGTCCAAAGTTAGCAGTTTGTGGAACTCTTTTTTTTAGCTGTTTGCTTTAACAAGATACTACAAACGTTACATAAAACTACACACTAGAGTAGAGACTCCAGTTCCTCCGAGTTCTTCTCTGAATTATTGTAAAGTCCTAAAACCGTGTCCTATTTAATGTTCGAAGACACAAAAATGCCCTGTTTCCACCCTTCCCCTGTCAAGGGACACAAACTTATTTGGCACCTTGCTCCCAAACCACGCTGCAAAGGGACTGACAACTCTGGCTCGACTCTCAAATACTGCTTCATTCACTAGTGCAAAAAAAAAGTTTTGTTTTGTTTTTTTAAAGTAGGTCTTGATCCTAGCACTTCGATTTCTAAATCAAAGCACACCTCCAGGTCAGGTGCAATCGCCTATCCTGGAGATCTTCAAAAGGAGACTGGACGATCACCTCCCCCCCTTGTCTTTCCAGCTTGGTGCAGGGGGCTGGATCCGATCATCTTCCCAGGCCCCTTCCACTCTATCAATTTCTCCATTGCTTATTTTATGCCCCACCCCCCCAAACAGCAGCTCTAGAAAAGAGGGAGCCTCGGGAATGCGAGGTCCAAATACAAAAAAGGTCCCTTGTGTTGGTCTTTACTTCAACCCCCTTCAAATTACAGGGGAGGCGGCTTGAAATCTCGGACAGCATCCCAAAATGTATCTTGGTTTTAAGCAAAACCCTGAAGTACCCGCGGCTGCTTAGGCCAGGCTCCCCGCTGTCGGAGCAGCTCGCGGGCGCCCAGCCGGGGACCAGGTCCGCACGGCCACGCTGCCCGAGCGCGGCCGGGCCATGGGGTCGGGCCG